AACCACAGCCCGGCCGGGGGCTTAAACCACAGCCCGGCCGGGGGCTTAAACCACAGCCCGGCCGGGGGCTTAAACCACAGCCCGGCCCCTGCCATCCGCGCCGGAGGGCACGCGAGGACAGGGACAGCAAGGGCTGACGATGCACACCTCCGGAGAAAGCAGCCAGCGGCATGGAGGAGAAACCCAAGCGATTATCGTATCATTGTTTATATATTTAAGAGTCGCTCGGATGACTGTACAGAGCAGCAAGCGGGATTCATTACTGAAAAAGGAACGGGGAGTATTTTAAGCGACAGCTAAGCAAGACTTGAGGGTTTCCCCGAGCAGCTGGGGCTTCTGAAGGAGGTGGCCAGGACCCAAGGCCCCAAAAGCTGCCCGGGATTAAAAACCCTCAGTAGGAAACTTGGGAGATTGTCCCGCAGGTGTGACCCACGTGGGGACGCATCTAGGGAGCGAATGAATGGTTCAAGATGTATTTTGGGGAGAAAATGTACACTTCGGGCACTCTCAGAGCTCCAGGCCAGCCCCAGCAAAACTAAGCAAAGACAAAGCCATCATTTCTATACTCAGAAACACAAGGTACTAATAGATTGCAATTACTGAACCCTCCCCGCTTGTCATAGAAGGCATTTAAAATCCTTGCCTGACATGAGCTAAAAAGCGGAGCGTTTGGGATGATAGAGAGGTGCAGGGGCTGAGAACGTCAGACGCAGCTGCCGAAAGCAGAAACCTCCTGGGCAGCAGGACCGCGCGGGAGGCACCTCTGTGGCCTCTGAGAGGCTACGGAAAAGCCCCTGCACGAGCAGCAGCTCCGTGCCTTTCTTCCCAACATCCAAATAGCTATTTTTATCAAACCTCTATTGCCATTCACATGTAACCCACATCCTTTCATTGAGAGTTGGGCAAAGAGGATAAGGGGGCAAAACCAGGAAAGGCTGCAGAGAATCATCCCCTACAAGCAAGGATGAGCTGAACCCCAGTAGTTAGGGCACACTTGTCAAATTCAAACTTCCCCGTGGTCCTCCTATTTATTAGGAACCTCCAATTTTAGCACAGACTAATCTTTATTTTGTGAAATGACGATCCGTACGAGTTTGTGGTCATAATAACCCCAAGAACTCTTGGCTGTAAGAACCTCTATGTTCATTTACACCAAATTCTCTCTCCCTCGGAGCGCCTCAGGGTGGGTTTGAACAAGAGCTGCCTGCAAAAACAGAGGTGTTCTTGATAGCGATTCTTCAAAGCCTGGCCCAGCCCTGACAAATAATCTGGGTCATTTTTCAGTCTGAAGCCACGCTGGCACAGGAGTCCTCATCCTGCTATGTCAGAGTTACTGCTCTCCAACTGCAGAAGCAATGTGGGAACCAAATCCTGAAGGA